TTATTGTTACTTGGAGCAAATTAATGTGTGACAATGTAGAAGCATAACGGTTTGAATTGTCCTTGTTTTTGACCCAAAGCTCAAATTGCACCTTTTTAATTAGTTAACACTGACTATTAAATAATTAAATCAGTTAAGAATAGCCTGGGCATTGGTGATTTTACCACGTGCTGTAATTAAAACCCATTTAGCTTGGTTATTAATACATTAATTGGTTTTTACTATAACTTCGGACACTTTCTGTCCGAAGTGGAACTGTAGCATCAGACACAATTCTACCCGAAATGATGTACTGTAGCATGGGGCACTGTAGCATCAATTAGTTTTGTTCGAAGTGCTGGTTGACCATGCGCTGGTCAGTGTTCGCGATTGGCTTCTGTCCGAAGGGCCTGGGGCGCAGAGGCATCAATTGGGCCCTTTTAGACATTGAAATAGCTCTTAGTGGTTGGGCCTCAGTTAATTAACCACAAAATTGGCCCATTAACTGTAGAAATTATACTGTATTAATTTTGGTTTGAACAGTAATAATAGCTTTGTTAATGTTGCAGTTCTTCCTAAGGTGATCAATTTTCCTCTTCTGATGGACTGTTCCAAATAAAATTGGCCACGAATGCTGGCTGTTTGGGTTTGGTATTTTGGGGAGATGATAGAGGAGGTGATGGTGAGCAACTTTCATTAAGGAACGAAGGCGAGATAAGGTCGTTACGGTGACGGAAAGTCGCCGTGAAATTGGGTATGCGGCTACCCCATTTTCCTGTCAAGAGAGAGACAGAGGGAGGCTAAGATCTGATTTTAGCCAAGCTTTTAAACAAAAAAGGTAAAATTGTATTTTTTGTTTATAATTTAGACAACCCAACGAATCTGGGCCTTCTCTTCAGGCATATCCACAACAAAATTTGATTTCTATGTATCAAACCCAAACAAAAATACTCTAAGTATCAAATCCTTATTAATAAAGATTCTTATGACTAATACCTTTTTTTTAATTTTAATACAGCGGAAATGATGAATCGCTGTTGGTTATCCAGTTTATACTTGGTATCAAGATTCATATCATGATGTCAATTATTTTAACAATAGTTGGAGTTGGAGTGATGATCATTTTTTTCATTGATTTTATACCCAAGCCGCAAAGGAAAAGAGTTATGTCAACTCACCAAGGTTAGTGTTCAAGATTCAATAAGTTAACAGTGGATGCTTAATGTCTATGTTGAGAATTACAGCCATAATTTGTATTGTTGTGATCTCAGTATTTGTTAAGAATCTTTCATTGTGGATAAACTAAAGTTTGTTTTGTAAGAATATCTTTATTAATGATTTTCCTGTCAAGAGAGAGACAGAGGGAGGCTAAGATCTGATTTTAGCCAAGCTTTTAAACAAAAAAGGTAAAATTGTATTTTTTTGTTTATAATTTAGACAACCCAACGAATCTGGGCCTTCTCTTCAGGCATATCCACAACAAAATTTGATTTCTATGTATCAAACCCAAACAAAAATACTCTAAGTATCAAATCCTTATTAATAAAGATTCTTATGACTAATACCTTTTTTTTAATTTTAATACAGCGGAAATGATGAATCGCTGTTGGTTATCCAGTTTATACTTGGTATCAAGATTCATATCATGATGTCAATTATTTTAACAATAGTTGGAGTTGGAGTGATGATCATTTTTTGTTAATTAAATTTTCTCGGGATGTTAAAGTGTAATTAACTCATCTGCTACTCTTTTCCTTTTCTTTTTGAACTTATTATCCTTTTTTTACAATAGCATTCTGTCTATCCAGAATCTAAAATCTTTGATTTCTGGGTTGCTAATCTAACAACTGGGATCTTTTGTTTTCTTTTCTTTAGAAAATATTTTGGTATGGTTTTTGCTTTCGTTTTTTAAAGGTTCACATTTTACCGTAGTATGACGTGCATCATCAACATGAATAATGAAGAATATCTGTCTCTCTCTCACATTATTGGTAGGCCTCTCAGCATACAAGTAATAATTAAAGTTGATATAAAAGTATCAAAAGGTTCACATCTTGCAGTACTATCACGTGCACTGAGTATTGATGCGACTAGACATATGCATCATCAAGATGAATCTGTTTCTCTCTCACATTGTTGGTAGGCCGCAGCGATATAAGTAAAAATGTCTAAAATATCAATAATATCGACAAAATATCGAGGGTATTATCGTTTTTTCAGATCATGGATATTTCGAAACGTGTTCATACACATACATTCATTATTGATTTACTTTTCCCTTTTCTTTTTTAATACAATCATATTATAAGTTTGCTGCATGTATATTTGTTTTCTGGTTTGCTAAGCTAACAACTGGGATCTTTTGTTTCTTTTCTTTAGAAAATGTTTCTGGGTTACTAGTTTTCTAACAAATAATGCAGTTTAGGGTTTCCCAAGCGACATATTGAGTTGTAGTGTAGAACTAGTACCGTATTCATTTGAAGTGAAGCAAGCTATTCTTCTCCCTCTCTCTCTCCCTCTCTCTCTCTCTCTCTTTCTCTCTCTCTCTCGGGCTCCTCAACCTCCATCATTTTCCGGTAAGTACGTTTCAGACCGTGATTGTATATATATATAGTTGAGTTGATATAATTAAGAGGGCACTCATAGTCACTCATTGATCGATCTCTGCAACGTTGTGCAGATCGGAATCTAAAACAACTTTGAAGTCCATATATGGAGCCGTTAACTAATAGGGAGATACGGACTGTAACGGAACTACCATCACAGGAAATGGAAGCGCATCATCAAACACTGGACTATGAGGAAACAGATGGTGATGCTGATAACTTGCACTTGTACCAGCAGCTGTACAGCTATGCTACTCAGGGCAACACAAATAGATTTCACGACACTATTGAAAAGAAGCTTCAGGATCCCAATGCTCGCGTTCAGTTGCTGTCTCGACGGAGCCCCTAGAATAACACGTTTGTTCACATAGCTGTGAGCTCCGGCCATGCCGAACTAGCAGCCGAGATCTTACAACAACACAAGCCCCTTTTGTTAGAGAAAAACTTTGAAGGCGATACCGCGCTCCACATTGCAGCCAAATCCAAGGATATAGATACGACAACAAATACTCTTCTTCGCGAAGCACGAGGAACAATAGACGTTGAAAATAATGGTGATATATTGACATTGCTGAGGATGAAAAATAATGAGGAAAACACTGCCCTGCACGAGGCTCTAATTCGAGGGCACCAATCAGTAGCCAAGTGTTTGATAGAGGCCGATCCTGCCGTTTCACTTTACACTAATAAGGAACAAAAGTCCCCTTTGTATCTGGCCGCTGAACAAGGGCTTGTTGGGATAGTGAAGCTAATAAAAGAAAAAGTAGTTGAGAAGAACACAAAAATTCAAGGCAAGTCCCCGTTGTTTGCTGCAATTCTACGCCGCCAGAAAAAAGGTTCGTACATTGAAATAATAATTCTTTTATTTTTTATTTATAGTAAATATGACTTTTCCCCTTCAAACTAATTATGTTCTATCTACAACCTATCATTTTATTTTTCTATAAATAAAACCCAATTTTTATAAGTAAAATCCGATGACTAGGATCCAACTCATCAAGTACCTAAACCTGAGCTTAAAAAATAATTTATTGTACTTTTTCAAATTACAAAATTTTGGTATGGTTTTTGCTTTCGTTTTTTAAAGGGTTATTCGCAGCAATGGTCCCTCAACTATACCCGTATTTACACTTTGGTCCACCAATTCAATTATTAGTTGCGGGGGTCACTCAACTAGGTGCTATGTTGCACCTGTAGTCCTTCCGTCAAATCTGTTAAATTTTCTGTCAAAAGTGAGGATAAATTCGGAATTTCATTCACAACCCTCCCCTTCCTCCACAACCCTCCCCTTCCTCCAAGTTCATGGCATAAATTAGCTTCAAACCCAACTTTTTGACAAGGGAGATATCCCTATCCACCATCTTGTCCACCGGGTCAATCAACTGCAAATTAAAATTCATCAAAATCAAAATCCTAATTATAATTATAAAGTTTTAATTTTTATTCAAAATATTTAAAGGCTAGCTAACCAGAGCGGGTTTGTCGGGGTGAGAGACGTCGGCGAGCAAGTAAGTGTACGTGGAGGACTCCTTCTCGAAGAGCTGGCGGAAGAGGAGCTTCGTAGAGGAGGCGGAGTCAGACGACGTCGTGTAAGCAGAGGTGGCCATGATTTGGGAATGGGAATGGGCAGAAATGGGACTGAAGAAAAGGGAAGAAGAAGAATAAGAGGAGCGAGAAGGAAGAGAGAGAAATCTGAGGAGACTGATTCGAAGCATCTGTCCTGTAATGTTGTTGGTGGACACAGCGATGAAATCGATCAGCTGAGTCTGTATTATTTTTATTATTTTTCATTTTTTAAGGTGGTGGTGCTGTTGTTGTCCATTATTATTGTTGTTGTGCTTTTCGAGTTGTGTTGTGTAGTGTGAGATCAGCAACAACAAGGATTGCGATTGGTTTGCGCGCGCCAAATCCGATGAGGGAATGCACCAGTAGTCCTTCATCCACCGCCATGCCTGACTCAGTGAGTTAGAGCTTCCGAGTTGGGGTTTGCTTGCTCTGTGTTTTTACTTGTATTTCACGAGTGAGAGAGTGAGTCACTGAGAGAAAGAGGGTGGTTGGAATCGGGATTAATGGTGGTTATGTGGAGGTTACTGTTTCAATTTAAAAGGTTGGGACCATGAATATTCATGAGGTTATTGTTTGCTGGGGATAGGGATGTGCAGAGGGTTTCTTTTGTTCTACACCAATGGGCTGCACATTTTAAGTTCGTTCAGAGAGAGAAAGGGAGGGGTTGTGGATGAATTTCCGAATTTACTCTCACTTTTGACAGAAAATTTAACAGAGTTTGACGGAAGGACTATTGGTGCAACATAGCACCTAGTTGAGTGACCCCCGCAACTAATAATTGAATTGGTGGACCAAAGTGTAACTACGGGTATAGTTGAGGGACCATTGCTGCGAATAACCCTTTTTTAAAGGACAATTCAAACTAAAAATGAAAAAAGAAAAAAAAAAAAAAAGGAAACAAGAAAACACAGTAAAGTCTACAATAGGAGAGCCACATTTTACCCAAGTTACTAAAAGGTTCACATTTTACCGTAGTATGACGTGCACTAGACAAGTAATAATTGGTAGGCCTCAGCGATACAAGTAATAATTAATGGGAAATATATTGTGGTTCTGTCGAGCATCACTTTCATGAGGATCCTGGTGTTGGTTTTGCTAGACCTGGTGGGCTTCCTCCGGTGGTTACTAGTTTTCTAACAAATAATGCAGTTTAGGGTTTCCCAAGCAACATATTGAGTTGTAGTGTAGAACTGTATTCATTTCTAGTGAAGCAAACTATTGTTCTCCCTCTCTCTCTCTCCCAGGCTCCTCCTCCATCATTTTTCGGTAAGTACGTTCAGACCTTGATTGTATCTAATTACTAAATTATCTGTAAGCATATATAGACATATATATAGTAAAGTTGATATAATTAAGAGGGCACTCATAGTCATTAATCCATCTCCGCAACGTTGTGCAGATCGGAATCTAAAGCAACGTTGAAGTCCATATATATGGAGCCGTTAACTAATGGGGAGGTACAGACTGTAACGGAACTACCATCACAGGAAATAGAAGCGCATCATCGAGCACAGGACTTTGAAGAAACAGATGATGATGCTGATAACTTGCGCTTGTACCAGCAGCTGTACAGCTATGCTACTCATGGCAACACAAATGGATTTCACGACACTATTGAAAAGAAGCTTCAGGATCCCAATGCTCGCGTTCAGTTGCTGTCTCGACGGAGCCCCCAGAATAACACGTTTGTTCACATAGCTGTGAGCTCCGGCCATGCCGAACTAGCAGCCGAGATCTTACAACAACACAAGCCCCTTTTGTTAGAGAAAAACTTTGAAGGCGATACCGCGCTCCACATTGCAGCCAAATCCAAGGATATAGATACGACAACAAATACTCTTCTTCGCGAAGCACGAGGAACAATAGACGTTGAAAATAATGGTGATATATTGACATTGCTGAGGATGAAAAATAATGAGGAAAACACTGCCCTGCACGAGGCTCTAATTCGAGGTCACCAATCAGTAGCCAAGTGTTTGATAGAGGCCGATCCTGCCGTTTCACTTTACACTAACAAGGAACAAAAGTCCCCTTTGTATCTGGCCGCTGAACAAGGGCTTGTTGAGATAGTGAAGCTAATAAAAGAAAAAGCAGTTGAGAAGAACACAGAAATTCAAGGCAAGTCCCCGTTGCTTGCTGCAATTATAGGCCGCCAGAAAGAAGGTTCGTACATTGAAAAAATTCTTTTTATTTATTTATAGTAAACATGACTTTTCCCCTTCAAACTAATTATGTCTTATCTACAACCTCTCATTTTATTTTTCTATAAATAAAATACAATTTTTATAACTAAAATCCGATGACCAGGATCCAACTCATCAAGGTACCTAAGCTTTTTTCAGTTGTAAGCAACCTAAGCTTAAAATCTAATTTATTGTACTTTTATAAAATTACAAAAATACCCCTAATTAGTGTTTACCAATATGCACATTAATGGTGCTTCAATTTTGCATAGATTTAGGGATTTTTAAGGTAGTTTTTCCTCTCTTTTTTATAAAAAAAATGAAATATAAGTTGGTACTCTTCGGAATGTTTCCCAATTTGACTACCTGATCATACTGTTTTAAATTTTAAATTAATATTGGCCAGATAATTTTTATATAAAAAATTCCAGGTTTTAATAATTTGTATGGTTTGAAATTAATTTTTTTTCAAATAGAAAGAATGTGTTTATGCTCCCTATAGTTCTTGATCCCTCTGTTTTAGGTTCTCTAAATTACATACATTTTCTAAGTACATTAAAATAAAACAAACTAAGGTAATTAATTCTTAGTAAACTAAAACATATTTATGGATAATTAATTTACCTATACAATCTGGGTAAATTCTTATACCTACAAAATATAGGTAAATTAGTACCCCTTTTTTATATTTATAAATAGCATGCCTATTTTTCATACCATAATAATGTGTCTATTTTTTCATAAATAATGTACCTATTTATTTTATAGAACTAATTTCAATAGTAACGTTTCTATTTTGTTATATAGGAATAATGTACCTATTTTCTATAAATAGCGTGCCTATTATTTCATAAATAATGTACCTTTTTTCTTTATAAATATGTACCTTTTTTTTTTATATAGATAATTTACCATGTATTAGATATGTGGAATATAGGTAAATTATTTTAGAGTTGAAATGGTCAAAATAATTTTTAGGTTATTAAAGATAGCGCACCTAGTTTATAAGTGAAGAGCACCACCCCCAATATATATTTCCCTCAGTGGTGTGATTATTTCCCTCAGTGAAGAGCACCACCACCCACAATAATTTTTATATACATAATTAGAGAATATTGGGTAAAATTTCCCTTCACACGAGCAAGAGGAAGTTTGAACTAATTTTGATTGTAGCTCATTATTCCATTGCTTAAAATTAGGGGATTAAAAAACTGTCACCAATTAAAGAGTAATTTAATGGCATAATTGGTAAATAAATCAAATTACATGGATACATTTTATCCTATATGGAATCTAATTTTAAAATTGGGTTTTATTTAAAGGTTTTATTACTAGAGTTTTTGAATTGCTTAAGCCGATATTAATGTGACTTTTTTTTTTTGGTCACAACGACTAGTAGTGTGATAGATTTTGATAGATATTACAACTTCTTCATAAAAAAAACATTATCATTATAATCATGTTGTTCTAATTTATACTTGATTCATTTACTGACGCCAGAAGTCCTAAAGATAATATCAAACATGGAAGCAAATATTTTGAACTCAAAAGATGAGAAAGGGAGGACTCCACTGCATTGTGCAGCATCAATTGGTTATCTAGAAGGGGTTCGCTTCTTAGGCAGACGTCTCATGGATTCTCATCGAAAGGATCATTGTGGCAACTTTCCGATTCATTGTGCATCAAGCAAAGGTCATGTCGACATTGTTAAAGAGCTGCTTCGACATTGTCCCGATTCAATGGAATTGAGGAACTCAAGTGACCAAAATATACTCCATGTTGCAGCAAGATGTGGCGAGGACAATCTTGTCAAATATTTTCTCAAGAAGGTTGAGTTTCGAATGTTGATAAACCAAAAAGACAACAGAGGAAATACTCCTTTGCACTTGGCAAAGATGTACCATCATCCCAAGGCTGTGGACCTTCTCACTTTCGATAGAAGGACCAACTTAAAGGTCTTGAATGATAGGGGCATGACATCTATTGACATTTCAGAAAGCACTTTGGAAACTAGTGCATCATATCATGGGGTAAGTTTGTGCTATACCTACTTTTATCATATTACTAATGATGATGATTTTTGCTATCATACCCAAGGGACTTCCTTGTTTTATTTAGTGTGTTAAGTACAAGACATCATTTAGTAGTCTAGAAATTGAACAAAGAACTAAAAGGAGAAACAAGTAATTGAGAAAATACTGAAAACACTTGAGTCGGATAACTGATTAATTTTTACCTATATTTTGTGAATTGAAAGGGGTACTAATTTACCTATATTTTTATATTTTTATATTTTACCTATATAAAAATATAACTTAAGTGAATTGAGTAATATAAAAATTAATTAATGTAAAAAGACAACACATTTACTTAACAATAAAATTAAGGCAATAGGGCAATATAGGGCAATGGGCGGGCCTACTTAGCCTGGCCCAACCTGGAAAGCCGGCCTAGGCTCGGTCCGATGGGAAGGCCTGGGCCGATCCCTTTGAAGCCTCAGCCCGAGTTTTAGTATAAGATATAGTTTATATCAATATTGATACCTCAATAAGTCAATGTATATAATTTATACTAAAATCTTGTAAAATCGTGTTTAATTATTTAAAATGTAAGGAATATAAACCACCAAAAATATTATTGAAAACATTAGTATTTCAAAAGTTCATTTTTCATACTTAGTCAATATTGAGGTACCAATACTGGTATAAAGTGTATCTTATACTAAAACTGGATTTTCATATTTTGATTTGTTGGGAATTTCATTTTCTACTATTTTTAATTGAATCCAAATAGGGGTACTTCCTTACTTACATTGTAAACTTAAGTGAATTGAGTAATATAAAAATTAATTAATGTAAAAAGACAACACATTTACTTAACAATAAAATTAAGGCAATAGGGCAATATAGGGCAATGGGCGGGCCTACTTAGCCTGGCCCAACCTGGAAAGCCGGCCTAGGCTCGGTCCGATGGGAAGGCCTGGGCCGATCCCTTTGAAGCCTCAGCCCGACTCGAAAAATAAAAAAGCCCGACCCGGACCAATGACAATCCCTGATTTAAAATGTACCATGCATCGTGTTGTGGATCCACTAGAGGTTCGATTGCTCTTGAGCATGGTATGTTATGGTGCGACCTAACTATTTGATAAAAGTCCTCTAAGAGGCTAAGGCAGGGAAGAGACAAACTTTTTTTGTTGTACTTAACAATTTACATTATCAAAACATGAAGAAGGGATCTAAAGTTGATGACCAGTTGGTTTGGTTAGAGAGTAATATTGGTGTCGATGTAGAGCTACATGTCGGCTCTTTTAAACGACTAGTCGACTGTGGCCAAACAGACCGATCGGTGTGCCCAGAGTCTCCAACATGTTGGGCAGAGTTATTACCCGTTTTGATAACGAGGAGGGGCAGAAATATGTAATAAAGAACCTAGTGTATATGTAGTAATGATTGAAGCAGAATCAGGAGCAGGGTATTTGGAATTGTGAGAAGTGACAAGAAGGGTCTCAGGGGTATTAGATATGTGTAAAGTTGTGCCCCCAATCTTCGTGTCAGGCATTGCAATAGAATTTGGTGATACGGGTTGGAGTTTAGATTAACTTTTGCCAAACAAAGTTAATTTTATTTGAAGGAAACATGCATCTAATGCTTAGGAAATGAATTTTAGCAACAACCTATACAACAAAAACATTCTAAATGGCGGATTCATTTTGTTTATACTAGTTGAGCTAAACTTTTTTCATTTTAAACCAAGTATCTTAGCCTAATCTCTTTGAACACAAATAGAAAAAGGAAAAAGGGAATAGATATTTACCCTTGATGACCTTTTCTTGATTTCTCAAGAATGAACACCTTTGTTGGAAATGCCTTTTTGTTTCTCTTGATTTTGACTCCTTCACCCTAAGGCTGAAAGATTGGAGTCCTCTACCTCACCACACCAAATGCTCCTAGAGATGAAGAGAAGGCAATCAAGAAGTATGGATGCTAGTCTACTTCTTGATTGGACCAATTTTTTATTTATGGAAGATAAGATACAAAGATGATAATTGTGGGTATTTGGGGCTCCATTTGGTCCATGGGTCATGTCATCTTATGCCACTTATCCCTTGGGCCCAATAGCCTTTTGGGCTATTTTGTCCATTTCCTTTTAAGTCATATTTAAAAGCCCAATCCAATATTTATATATGTCAATATTAATTTCATAATTAATCTTTTAATTATAATTTAACTATTAAATTATAATTATAGTCTTACTTAATTGACCCGGTCAAACTATTTGACTTTGGTAAATTGCTCCAGTCAACATGTTGACTTTGACATTTGATTATCAACCATTGACTTGTGTCTCCTCATTTGTACCTCTAATCACATTCTTTGGGTGTGCAGATCTGTAGGTTCTCTTTAGCAAGGTAATGGGTTGACTTAACTCCTCAAAGATGATATACAAATTAAATTCCACAATTTAATTATTCTTATTAATAAAGGTTAATTGAAACCTTTTAGGACATCCACAAACTATGGTTGTTGCCTAGCAGCAAGTCACAGTTATTCGAGCTAAATGAGACGTTGTGAAAGAACCTATTCAAATTGGAATGACTGTGCAATTGAATCCTTCTCTTATGTCAATACTCCGTATTCACATTATTAGATTTGAAGACCGTGCAATTGAATCCTTCTCTTATCTTTGTTTCATGGAATCTGATTGTCAATATCCTAATGTGAATCATTCCTTTTATATGATTATCTTGGTAAGATTTGAAGACTTCTTCTTGCAAGTCTTATCCACTACTCTGTGCAAAGATTTGACCAATCATATCTTGGAGCATTCTCTCTCCTTTACTGAGAGTAGAGATTCCTTGTTGTACATTCATTTGCTTCCATGACTCTATTGAGAATCCTGATGAGCACCTTTAAGCTATGCCTAATTCAGCATGACCGTATAGTGCCCTCATAGATTAACAACATAACCACAAAACATCTATGATGCCTCATGTCTAAGGATTAGTTTGCATCATTGCAATTTATGAGTTCTAACTTGACATGTGAGTAAAGACTTCCATGTTGTAACTCATGTGTTGGATCGCATTCAGTGTACTTGTTCTTCTACAAGCACCTACACACATATCGATGTCTCTCCATACTTAATGACTTGAGACCTTGCCATTCCTTACATATAGAGACGATACTATGTGTACTGGTCTTTGCGGAATATTAACGCGCAATCAATATTCCTATGACCAGGAACATATTCAAGATTTAGGGATGATGAGAAGTCTCCATGTATGCAATCTCATTACATAGCTCTCATATCCACTTGTGTATTCCTTGGACTATGGTTGTTCTACATATTGAAAAATAATTTAGGATGATTTAATGTACTATAAAACAACTTTTCTTGCCCATTGACAACATAATATGTCTTTTATCAAAGATGTCCTTAACTCTAACTATTACATAATTAGTTGGCTTTAAGGGCATAATTCTAACATTATTGTCATACATTATTTAATTAATTATTTTTTCTTATTATTTATTAATTAATAATATTGTCAGACCACATAAGCAGTTAATGGCAAAAGTGACTCGATAAATTAAAACCCTAAACCCTGAACCTTAATTAAACAAAAAAAATAAAAAAAATGAACATCCCTCATCTTCTTCCCCCAACCCTAGCACCCCACCATCTCCTCACCGCCACCCACCCCCACCCTACCCTCTCATGACCGTCACCTACCTCCACCCCCACCCTCTTGACGCCGCCGCCAACACCTTCCTCTCTCTCTCTCTCTCTCTCTCTCTCTCTCTCTCTTCGAAACCCAAGTAGGGTTTTGTCATCGTTGAATTTGACATCCTTATGGACGTCAAGTTCAAACTACAACTTCATTTCCAACCCCCAATCTCCCAACATCCGCATGTCCTACACTCTCTCAGGCTTTTTCCTCCGCTATCTCCTCACCTTTCCACCACACTTCCTCATCTTGCCTCTCGTTCAAGCTCTCTCTTCCCTTGATGACGATGACCCCATGCAACAAGTCATGCATCTCACATCAACGGGAACCATGTCGGGTTGGATCTGAACTCCATGACGATCTGATTGGCCCATCATCGCCGAAATCCCTTCTCTCCATCTTGCTTTCTCCTTCTATGCCTCCGAATTCGCCGACCCAATCAACACCACCAACACCCCAAAATGGTATCACATGAAAATTGGTGGTGGGTGGTGGCCGGAGATGATGGTCAGTGGGTGGCAGCGAAGGATGGCAGCGATGACTGGTGTCGGTGGTGGAAGAGGGTGTTGGTGGGTGGCGGTTGGGGTCGGCGGTGGGTGGGGGTTTATAGTGGTGCCTTAAAAAAAAAGGAAAAGGATAAAAAAGTAAATGTTAGTCATTCCTATAGCACATGGGCTTACTCATTGACCTTTAACAAAAAAAAAAAAAAAATTTAAACTCATTCACCTAGCCCAAAACAAACATATAGGCTATTTACCATATACTAATTATGAATTTTTTTTTTTTTAATCACTATACACTAGTTTTTCTTAGAATTAATACATTTGAGACTCCAAATTCGAGACAACTACAATTTTAATTTTATTCACCTTTATTATTTTTTTTGAGTTGGGATTAATTTTTGATGCTACACGGGATCATTGGTGGATCCACAGAGGCACAAGGAGACTTGCTGGAAACTTCTTTGTAGATGCTGGAATTAGCCCCTCTGCTAGTGCCCTCAAATTGTTCTACTAAATGCCTCAAAGAGGTTGTTTTGTTTGCTGCTGTGTGAGACCCTCAATATTTATCTTAAATTGTTGCACTCGATCTTACAAACATGTAGGAGAAAACAGTTCATCAATCGGAGCTCCAGAACCAAAGTTATAAATTGTTTATACCATATCTGACCAAGCAACTAGAAGCAGATCTAAGCAAGGCAAAGAGTCCCACATTGGAATATAACAAGATGTATAGACTCCCCCTCACCTATAAGAAGAGACCACTCTCCACTTAGGAAGGGATCCCCTCTAGGCTGGGCTTTATATTCAGTCATGGGCTTCTCCCTTTCTCTCTTTATATTTGGGCCCAGCCCCTTGTACAAATGTAAATACACATTGCTATAATAATGAGAATATACTTCTCCGTGTACGTAGCCCATTCATTAAGGGTGAACCACGTATATCTTGTTTTCTGTATATTTATCGCTTGCCCAAATCTTCACACACTTGCTGAAGGTCCTCACCTTCACCCATCATTCATCATACCCTATCACTAAGTTGGGCACAAAAGTGCTGAACCATTTTTGTGCGTCAACATAAATTATAGAAGTTTTTTAAGAATTGATGTTGTAGAGGAAGTTCGAAGAAGAAGAAAGACTCGACGTCAATTTTGATTCCTTTTTTAAATAGTCCAATAGCAAGCTGTCACATGTCAATTTTTATTTGGACTAACATAAAAAATTCATTAAAAACTCATATGTGCACCGAAAAATTCACCAAAAATTACCCAGAACTTGTAATCCCATGTACTTTTATATTGTGACCTCCAAACCACATGTGCTAGCTTTTGGTTAGATTAATTGGTATTAATTTTGGTTAGATTAATTAGTATTGACTTTCGTTAGATTAATTATGTAATTGACATGGATTTTGTTCATATATATTTGATATGAATTTTGGTAAACTAATTGTGTCCATAATTTTGTTCATATTAATTGATATACCATATAGACTATAATCAATTAGTAATAGACGTAAAACTCTGATTTGTTTTAATTTTAAATGACATTAATATTGTTTAAATTCTTAGGGCATTTTCTTGTCTAAATTATTTTTTGATTTTTAGTGTTTTAAATATTGCACTTCCCTTGAAAAATTCATGAATCCACCACTGCATGCAATTCGTATGCCTTGGTTTCAAGCAACAAAGTTTTCAATATATTAATGGTACCACTTGTGCAGATCATACCTGCTGTAAAAGAAGAAGAAAATGGCGTGATCCAGTTATATTCCTCAGAACAAAATCCAAGAGACTCCAGCAGCCTACCTGAACTTGATCAAATTTTGGTTGAGCCAGGCCCAGGTATGGAAAAAAAAAGAACTACTGCCGCTGCTGGTCAGATTCAGAACAAAGCAGTAGCGATAGCTTGGTGGCTGGTAAACAGACTGGTAAATTGCTTGGAATACCCAAGAACTTGGTTGGAAGATACACGTGGCATGCTGATGGTTGTTGCAACCATGATATCAACCACAACTTTCGAAGCTGCAGTTAACCCACCCGGTGGTGTTTGGCAAGAAAATAATACAAATAGTAGCGCTGGAGGTACTACTTATTGCACCCATGATAAGATATGCTCTGCTGGAACTTCAGTGGCAGGCAGCGTCTTCCCAGAAATCTTCCTTGAATTCGTAACATACAATACCGTCTCGTTTATTGCTTCTCTCAGTGTCACCCTTTTGCTTGTTGGCGGATTTCCCCTCCGGAATCGCGTAATTATGTGGCTTTTATCAATGGCCATGTGTGTCACTCTCACTTCTGTGGCACTCACTTATATACATGCTCTCATCTTAGTGTTCCCTGATACTGAAATTTACAAATCATATGAAAAGATATCCCGGATATCCATTGTGGTTTGGGCTACATTGCTTGGGATCATAGCTGCAATCCACACCATTCGTCTTATCATTTGGTTGGCGAGGAAGTTGTGGGGCAGGTTCAAGCGTAAGATCCCAAAAAGTCTCAGGAACGTGATTGATAGTTTGGTGGATAGTTCGAGAGCACGTCACCGTGGCAAAAAATTCTGAGGAGAATACGGCTGTCGTTTCCTTGTGTGTTGGAGCAACTAAACCGGATTGCTAAAGTAAACCATCTATTTAACGATGAAGAATGTGTTTAAGGAGAACCAGCAGGTCGTGTTTGCCTAGTGAGCTAGCCAATGTTTGCCTTAATTTATTTCTGTTAGAATTTGGATGCTATGTAATAAATAAAGATTCTGCGGAGCTGTTGTTGTTTATTAATCTGAAATCTATTTTTATTTCCTCCATGTATATATATACACACAAAGAGCCTCTATTGAGGAATCCCTCAAATTATTTGAGGGATACCCTTGTAGGGCTCACTCCGCATTGTATTTCACTAATCCAAACCGTCTATGTTGTAGATACTCATTCAAAGATCATTTCTACCAAAAATCACTTGAATCCGATATCGTTTGACCACTCAATTGTGTTATTGAAATTTTAGTACTTTGTTGAAGCACGGTGTTCATTGATTTTGTATGATACAATTGGATGACGAAACGGTCTCCGAATTGTCTAATTTTTTGTAAGGATGATCTATGAATGCAGACTTAAAAAATAGATAGTTTGGATCGTTGGAAAAAAAAAAATTTGTAGGGTACCCTAAAGGGAACTATATATATATCTATAAAGCTCGGTGAAAATTGTTTGAAGAGAAGTGCTCAGACTTTTGATAACTGATAGAAGATATATGAAACTCTTCATAGGCTTTGCATGCATAACTGATGCAAAGTATATATTAATAATTATAGTCTTTGGCTAATAGTAAAGAGAGAGGTTAAGCTGACGTGTGGTTAGTTAGTGACGCGTCAAGGCTGTGATATTAATCATGTGTATTAGTTATGTTAGTTGTTGTAATAATCACGTGGGTTATTCTTCTGTCAAAGGTTTTGTAGTTGCTTTGTAGCTAAGCAAAGCTTGAACTATTACTATAATAAAAGACTGACTGTACTGACCCCTAATTATGAAAAATTAAAATATTTTGTTTTAGGGAGGTTCACATCTAAACCCTTTATTAGAGACTAATAACTTATAAAAATATGGCACTGGGTTCGTGGTCGGAGGTAGTTGGGTCTGGTCGGGTTGTACGAAATCTTTACTTTTTTTTTCTTTTTTTCTTTTGGTAATCTACAAATTAGTTGAAAGATCCATTGAACTCAATAGAGAATAATTCAAATTTTCAGAAACCCTATCAAATCATAGGCAAAGAGAAAATAATAAAAAATAAGAGAAAGATTAACAAAATTAATTAAGTGAGTCAACCCAATTGAAACTTGATAATTTGGCAAAATAATATGTATACTAAATTTTTAGAAAATTGATCTAAAACATGAAAAAAAATGTTGATCTCCAATCAATCTGTCATAGAGGGATCAATACAGAAAGAATAGTACAATGACAAAGATGATTCCCAATCAGCAAAGAAGACTTTTGAATTTTTTTTGGACGAAAAGAAGACTTTTGAATAGAGAAACTGGAAAGTAATTTTTGAAATGAAAACAAACTTTCTTAAACAAAAAGTCTTCCCAATCAAACTTTAATTGTTTCAAAATCAGAATTCTAAACAAATTAAGGTTTGAAAACAATTCTAAATTTAGCACAAACATGATGCGTGATTGAAGGAAGATATTACCTCAAAAGTTGTTTATTGAAACATGTGCCTTCAAATCAGATCTTGGAATTTGAGACAATTGCCATTGCTATTCTATCACAACAAGTTTACCGTCTATGCTAATCTATCTAGGGTCTAGGGAATGCCAATCACATAATCATATACTAACAACTCTTTAATAGGATATGGAATTCATGTGAAATCCCTAACGTGATCGCTCTTGGCTATATGATTCAATATGAGCACAATTAGAATACTCTTTCTTAATTGAGCTTTGACTCCAGCCGGAGATTCCTGAATCATATCTCAAAAAATTGTCTCCCTCTTACTGGAAGTCGAGATTCCTTGTTGTACACTCACTTGCCTTTATGGACTTGTCGAAGATCTCGATGTTACCTTGAGTCGAGCTCAAGGATGAGCTCAACCTTTTCATATAATCAAAGACTGACTACGCATACATAAGGCAACCATGGTGTCTCAAGTCTAAGTATTAACCTTGCGTTATTGCAACCTATGAAATCTTGTTTGACATGTAAGTAAAACTTCTACACGAGATTTATAGTTTGATCGCGTTCAGTGAACTCATTCTCTAACAAGCACCTACGCACTTATATGAATGTACATATACAAATGACTCGAGAATAGCCATCCTCCTAGTTGAACAAATATAGTGCGTACTGGTCTTTGCATTTTGTCAATGGCCAGTTGAGCAATCCTATGATTGGGAACATTTCAGGAGTGAATTTTAGGGAAAGGTTTCTCCGCATCTAACATCTGTGTCGTTACCTGAGTCAACATGTTTGCCCTTAAGTGTTAACCTAAATGGTTGGTTCAATCGAAGTTTCCATGAAATATTTCAGCTAATGATTTGCTTTCAGTGCATACTTCTAACAATCTCCTACTGCACTTAAATTCAATCAGCTTCTTATTCAATAACCATCTATCCTAGGTGTTTGTCGAATCGAAGTCGATGCCTAGTACTGCTATGTCATGTCATAGGCATATCTAGGGGTGGGCATTGGAACCGCAAAATCGTAAAACCGAACCAAACCAATCCGAAAAAAACCATATTGACCGGAAAAGTCAAAAACTGAAACAAATCCAAACTGAACCAGTTCAAATCGGTTCCAGTTCCTGTTTTCTATCCTAAGGAACCGATCCAATCCGAATCGGTCCAATAAAATTAATTTTTATATATATTTATATATTTTATATTTTATATATAGTTTTAACATGTTTTTTATTGGTTGTCTAAAAAGCAAAAGATAAACAACAAAGAATACAAAAAAGAGGAAACGGGAGAGAAGAGAAAAGCAAATGAAAAAAAAATAAAGAATACAAAAAAGAGGAGAGAGAACATTGGTACAATCAATTCTATACTATTTTAATGCCCAACTTGAAAACCGTTGAGCAGAGAGACGTGATTGAAAAGCAAGTTGGGTGGGAATTTATGGTGTTGATGTCTTGGGCAGAGAAAAGAGAACGGCTCTTTTTTATTTTTTTATGAAATCTTTCAGACTTTTTGTTTTGTTTATCCCTCTCATTTCTCTCTCTTCTCTAAGTATTCTCTCACTTTTCTCTGATTTTTTCTTTCTTTCCTCTTCTTCTTTCTCTCATTCTTTCTTTCCTCTCTTCTTGCTCACCGATTCTTTCTTCCTCTCTTCTTGCTCCGATTCTTTCTTTTATCTCCTCTCATCTCATTTATTCTTTCTTTCCTCTATTCTTTCTCATTGATTATTTCTTCCTCTCTTTCTATTATTTTCTTCATTTTTTGTTTCTTTATTTTATTTCTTACTAGATCTTTATTTCTTCTTCTCTTTTCTCCTCTCCTCTTTGTCTGATATCTCTTTTTGTTTCTGACTCTCCTTTGGTGCATCGATTGGATCTGTTTGCTAGATAGTTTTTTTGGTATCTTGTAAGATTCAGATATGGTTTTCTTGCATGGATTTGGTGATTCACATTGCTTTGTGTAAAACTGTCAGTTAGGCTAAAGAGCCGGTTCAAAGCATGAAAAACCGGAACCGAACCGGACCTAAACTGGATCAAATTGGTCCAATTTTCTTTGACATTTTCGTTAAAATTCGAACCGAACTAGATCGGTGAACAGTATCGGTTTTGGTTCCATTTTTGCCTGAGAACCGGTCCAACCCGGACCGTGCCCAGGCCAAGGCATATCTAAGAGTCACACTATTGTCTAAAACATGTGATTCTTCTAATCACCAGTTTATCTTAGTGTTTGTTTGGAGCTTTGATGGCATATTATTGTTGAAAAAATTTCTGATGGAAATTACTTTTCTCATCGAAACATACATTCTCAGTTTCCAATTCAGCAATGTAAACATTATTTACAAACTCCTGCTGAAACAACATACTTATACATTGTTTTAGGAAATACGTATTTAATGTCCAAGCATATGCCCTAACACATCATATGTGTTTGAGAAAATACAAAATTCACTTTAGACAAGATGACTTCACAATCTCCCCTTTGGAATCAGTGTCTAAGCACATATCCAATGCACATTAGCTGAATTACTTTCATAATGTCAGTTTGGAGTTTGTTATTCCTTGGAACTGACATATAATGATAAACGGAACCGTGCTTAACTGTAACTTCAGACACTTTCTGTCCAAAGTGGAACTTTAGCATCAGACACAATTCTGCCCAAAATGATGTATTGTAGCATTGGGCACTGTAGCATCAATCACTTTTGTTCGAAGTGATAGTTGACCATGCGCTGGTCAGTGTTCGTGACTGGCTTCTTTCCGAAGGGCCTGGGCCGTGGAGGCATCAATTAGGCCATTTTAGACGTTGAAATAGCTCTTGGTGGTTGGGCCTTAGTTAATTAACCACAAAATTCGCCCATTAACTATAGAAATTATACTGTGTTAATTTTGGTCCGAACATTTGCCCCCTAATTTAATCAGTTTGGCCAAAACCAGTTAAATTAAAAGCCACGTCCTTCTAAGTTTTGCTTCGCAACTGGCCACATGTTGGTAGTTACTTGCATGACAACTTTCCTGGGTATTGAATGTACGTGCCATGCCTTGGAATTTTTAATTGTTTCTTTACTTTCAAATGGCTAAAGGCAACTCTTCTTCTTCTACCCTTTCTACATTCAGTAGAAAAATCAAAAAATCTAAACCTAAAATCATCAACAATTCCGTTTTCTTCGGCGCTCTGCTTCCTTCATTCCTTAAACAAAACCCTCGATTTTCTGAGAATCTTTAAACACTTTTGCTCAAAATTTACTGTTCATCGATCAAAAATGGCGCTCAGCAAGAAAAAAAAAAAAAGTTGTAGAAGAAATAATCAAGAATGCGCTCTTCTTCACTAGAAATGGAGCACTCGTTGAAAGGAAGAATAATAGAGAACAACTGGAGGCCCTGGCTGAGACTAGAAAAAGAGGTAATATGCTGGAACTACATAACCCTACTAGATAGAAATATGGTGTTAGGACCTCGGTATGTGGCTAGCAAAGCCGCCAGCATTTCTTCTGCATAAATAACAAAGACTAGGGCTAATATTCTGTTTAAGAGCCCTTATACTCCATGCTAGGAGAACTAGGATGCCAACATCAAGA